CAATAAAAGCTAAGAGAAAGGAGGAGGAAGTAGGGGGTATTACAATGTTTGTCTTCCAAAGCAACCACCACACATACTTGAAGCCCTGCTTTCCAGGAAGCGGCCAGACACCACCTGCAGATGGGAAGTAAGGAATAAATCTTTTGGTTTTCCTTTGCTTCCATGTGTGGCCTTTTGCTTTATTAAACTGCTTTTATCTTGACCCACAAGGGGTTTTTTCCATCTTATTTGCTCCCTTCCCTGTCCTGCTGAGAAGGGAAGTGATAGAATGACTTGGTGGACACTTGGAATGCAGCTAAGGGAAACCCACCACATACTGGACAGACTCATTTGCCACTGAGAGAAAGACTGATTCTCAATAACGTGATTTAGGCTGCAAGGTATCACTGAAGACAGCAGTGGCACAAAATGTGGTTGGAGACATGTCACTAGTGGTGCACCCCAGGGTCAATACTGGTGCTAACACTGTTTAACATCTTCATTAATGACCTGGACAATGGGGCAGAGTGCACTCTCAGCAATTTTACAGACAACACAAAACCGTGAGGAGCAGCTGATACACTAGATGGTCATGCTGCCATTGAGAGAGACCTGGACAAGCTGGAGAACTGGTGCCAAAAGGAACCTCATGAAGTTCAACAAAGGGAAGTGCAAAGTCCTGCACCTGGTCCGGAATAACCCCATGCATCACTACACACTGGGGGCTGATCAGCTAGAAAGCAACTTTGGCAAAAAGGACCTTGAGGTCCTGGTGGACAAGAAGTTGAACATGAGTCACTAATGTATTCTTGCAGAAAAAAAGGCCAACAGCCTCCTGGGTTACATTAGGAAGAGCACTGCCAGCAGGTTAAGGGAGGTGATCCTTCCTCTCTACTCAGCACTGGTGAGGATGCATCTAGAGTACTGTCTCCAGTACTGGGACTGGACTGGGCTGGGCTTCCCACTACAAGAAAGACATGGACTTATTGGAGCAAGTCCAGCATAGGGCCATGAAGATGATTAAGGAGTATCCTTAAATCAGGAGATTTTTATATATTTGTATCTTTAATGGAGAGAGATGTTATGGGGATGAGAGCCCCAACATCCACCTGCTAATGCAGGAGGAAGGAGAGGAGAGAAAACCAGTGAGAAAAGCTGTAAGTGGTGTGCGCAGTGCCGAGCAGGCATCTCTGCCAGGCAGCCTACTCTTAACACAACCAGTTAGGACAGGTAACCAAGCAGGAGCATGTGGGATGGTACAGAAAGCAAGCACAAGATCTTGAGAGACCTGGGACTGATCAGCTTGAACAAAAGACGGCTCAGGCTCAGATAAGATGGTTCTTATCAATGTGTATAAATACCTGATGGGAGGGAATGAAGTAGAGGGAGCCAGAGTTTTCCTAGTAGTGTCCACCAACAGAAAAAGAGACAACAGACACAATCTAAACCCCATGTGATTCCATCTGAACACAAGAGAACAGGGTGGGGTTCTGCAGTAGTTCTGAAGTAGCCCCTCCCCTTTGGAGATTCCAAAACAAAAGCACTAACAACTCTACTACCACTGTGCATACCACCCTCACAACTAATCCCAGACATTCCTACTCTAGAGTGAATGTTTTTGTGAATGGTGGACAAATACATCTATGGTAATGCTGAGAGGACTGGCAACACTGACACCCCATTTTCAAGCAACCAAGAACACAGATGTGCCACTGCCACACATGTTAATGAAAAAGCTATCCTTCCTTAGACTCACCCCTAGACCCAGGAGCTCCACATCCATTACACAACTTGCAAGAAAAGAAGAAGTCAATGGCAGAGCCCAGACTAAAGATTCAAAAAATGTCAGTGCTTAGAATATCCAGCCGTGTTCCTCTTTGCCTGAAGAGTAAGACAAACTAAGAGCAATAATCGAAGTTGTTGCTTTGTAACAGGAGAATGCTATCAGTAATACGGGTACACAACTGTCTAAGCACACACATCTGTGTCATCTACCCACCACTGCAAGAAAAAAAAACAGTAGCAGATTAGATAATTCTCATACAGCATTCATAGTTTTTCATTGGAAAGACTAAAAAGTCAAACCTTTATTACCTACTGTGATAACCTGTTCTTAGCCTTGTTAAGCTTCTAGTTATCCAGTACAATGGGAATACACTGCAACACATGTAACTCCCCTGTCACAAAAAGCCCAAGACAGCAATGGAAGCAGGCCTTGCAGATGTGTAGAGTACACTCAAGAAATGCGTAGGAAGATGGGAACACCAAGTAGCAAAGACTTGCTGCAGGTGTGCTTAAGGCAGAGAAGGTAACACAAAATTTGCCAATGCAGCAGATGAATCCAACTAGAGTAAGAGTAAAGACACTAATTAGAGCACTGAGACTAGATGATATGGACTGTTTTCAGCCCTACTCTTGATATGTTGCATGACTTCATGGTATTTCACTGTTGTTCCATTTCACTTCCCACTTTTTATCTACATCATCTGCGCACATTGGAAGCTCATGAGATCAGTCTACCTCTGTCTGCACCACGACTCGCTCTGTAGGGTTCAGACTTTGACTGGCCCTTCTACAGTTAATACATCTAGATCAGTCTACTATAAGGTACTCAATATAAAAATAACAGGAGGCTTATGAGACCAGAGGGAACAGGGGATGACACAGGGAAAAGATTGAAGTAGGAATATAAACAGGAATGATATGCTTTCTAAGATGAATACAAAATGAAGGAAGGTTGATGGAGAACTGGATGCTAAGACTTGAAAATAGGGTAACACTGAAAGCACTGGCAAATCTTCCAGTGACAACATCTTATTGCGCTTACTTATTTAATTAGCATATCATATTACCTTACACGCTTGATATTAAACTCAGATGAGTGTGAGCAGACACCATGGAAAATCAAATTAACTCGTATTAAACAACACAAAAATGAAACTTCTCAGTAAAGCATCATCAAAACACATACAAACACGAAGTTTACCTCAGCTCCTAAACTGAGAGAGATTATTTCATCCTCAAAAGCTGAATGTGTATCAATATGAGGAGGAATTCCTGTGTACGAAAAAACAAAAAAAGTCAGTATAATAATAATGAGTGCTATCTCTGTTAGCAAGCTCTACTTCCATGGATGTCCACATAAAAAAAATGTACAGTAGGCTGTACAGTTGAACAAACAAAACTTACCATAAAGGAGCAAGTTGCCTTCCAAAAGAATTCAGGACAATTGTCTGATTTACATGCCCAGATTAGATGCACAGTTAATGCAAGTGTCCTGTATCCTCAGTGGAAATATCTAGAAGACATTTCAGAGCATCCAAAGGCCTCATTCACCCTCTAAAGACCCCAAATGTTCTCCTTCCTGCAGAGAGCACCTGAAATCACTATGATCTCAAGGTCAAACCCTGCCTCTGCTTTGCAGTTCCCAGGAGAACTCCACACACCATTGCTAGGCTAATCCATGGGTAGTACATCTGTTGGTGTGTGTATGAGTAACCACACAGAGTTAAGAACTGCCAAAGGGACAGTTCTAAATTTTTTATTATTTTTATTTCAAATCTGCTGTTGGAAAGAAACTGCCATTTCACACAGCTCGTGCCACACATTTTAACACCAAGTGCTGAAACAGCACTGTGCACACCACAGCAAGATCTCACCGCATGGTGGGGAACTGTAGCCAGCAGTGGAGCAAGGCCAGCATACAGCTCAGGAGAACTGCAACTACACCTTCCTTTGACACCACAGCAGGCCCAGACAGAGTAACTCCTATGTGATCCAAACCAGTTATATTTGCTTAATAAAAATTCTACCCACATTCATTTTGGACACTATAGAATTTCTGAGCTGAAAACATTTTTTCTCTAACAGTGTCAGTCAGCCCTATAAAGCATCCTTATTACGCGCCAGATTTTACCTCCAGATGTAAATATTCTGAATTCTGTTAGTCTCAGTGAAAGTAATATTGTTTGTTTTGATGTTTTTGTTTGTATATGTTTTATGAGGCCAACATTTAATCTGATAGGAAATCAGTGAGACTTGAAAACCAAGGACACATATCTGTTTGTGTTCACTCCTAAGTTTGCCTCAGTATAAAGCACTGAAACTGCCTTCAAATCCACACTGAAGTCAATGCAATTCACTGTGCAACAGGAGAACATCAACTGCTCCCTTCAGCATCACCCAGACAATTCAATCAAGACCACATTGACCTACGTACCTGCTGGATGGTAACTTTCAAGTGTAAATCTACAACTTTAAAGATCATTACAACCCTCAAGAAAAGTGTCCTCAAAAAGGAATTCATTTAATGTGTCTTAAGCATAGTCCCTACAGCTGAGATACCCAAAGTCATCAGTCACTTTTTAAAATCTCAAGTGTAACTTCCAATGACAATCTGGTTTGGAACACAGATACTAAAGGTATTAATCTGACTCCCTCTGGCTCATTCATATCCTAACAATTTGCACATAAGAAACTGTATTTTGCCCCCCCCCCTTTTTTTTTTAAACTGCTTCTATTCTTGATAGAAATCTACAATTCTAACACCTCCTCTGATGTCCCAGCCAGAAACACAAGACTGTATCAATTTAACACACTGTCAGATACATAAACCAACAGAATCACCTTTTCAAGCCCCTGTTTGGCAGACACTGTATTAGCTGTCAGACATTAATTCTGAAAGAAAAGCTGTTGTCCTTTCTTCCTAAGGACAAATAAGATATCCGCTGTAGAAAGGAAGCCAAATACTTAGCCTTGATAACTGATCTTAGCAAAAAGCACAGCACGTGAATTACTATTCCCTAGAGGTGTGATGAGAAGCAAATGTCTCTTCAGATGTCTCCAGTTCGGGAAAGAAAGACAGTAATTTCTTATTCCTCAGATAAGGGAAGACTGCTTGTATCATACTTATGAGTACATATACTATATATATTAACATTATATCATATGTACTAACAGTAAGAGCTGCTTCCTGAAGATTGTATGCACAGTACAGGGAGCAAGAAGAGTTTGGAGTGAAAACAATCACTTGAGTACAAAACCAAAAATGACTATTTATTCCTGTATCTTTTTCATTTTAGTTTCCATAGTTATGGCCTTGGACTCTGAAACACCATCAATTTCTGTAACAGTGGTATCAAAAAATGTACTTCTCAACAGAAGCTCCCAGGTTCAGAAACCAGTATGAAGGCTTTAGTTTTGATTCAAAGCATCTGTGGTCACAAAAATACACTAAGTGGGTGCTTAAATCCTGTCCCTATACCACATCACATTTAGATGCTATTCTCTTCTGATTTTCTGTTAAGTTGTACTGGTTTGGCTGGGATAGACTTAATTTTCTTCACAGTAGCTTGTATGGCTATGTTTTGGATTTGTGATGAAAACAGTGTTGATAACACAGGGGCATTTTAGTTATCGCTGAACAGTACTTACAAAGCATCAAGGTCCTTTTTGGTTCTCATGCTTCCCTACCAGCAAGTCAGCTGGGGGTGCACAAGAAGTTGAGAGGGGACACAGCCAAGACAGCTGACCAAAGGGATATTCCATACCATGTGATGTTGTGTTCAGCAATAAAACTAGAGGTGAAGTTTATCGGAGATGCCATTGCTCAGGGACTGGCTGGGCATCAGTCGGCTGGTAGTGAACAATTGTTTGGGGCTTTTTTTTGCATCACTTGTTTTTCTTTGTTTTGTTGTTCTTTTCTTTCCTTTTTAACTTATTAACCTGTCTTTATCTCAATCCATTAATTTTCTCACTTTTATTGTTCCAATTCTTTCCCCTGTGGAGGTGATCAATGAGGTGGAGTGAGCCAGTGGCTGTGTGGTGCTTAGTTGCCTGCCAGGGTTAAACCACAATGTAAGGTAAAGAGCTCAAAATTTTTGAAGGACTAATAAACTTACCTTGTCCAGGTTCATACTGATTTATAGTCAGTTGGTCAGGTTTGTGTTTTATATATCCCTGCTTCAAGCACTTCTCCAAGAACAGGTCACAAATTTCAGGAAGACCTAGTTACAGAAACAAAACTGTAAGCAAGACAGGATAGTTTTTTACATTTTCATCCTTTCTTTTTACAATAAATATAATAACTGGGCAAAACACATAGAAACAGCTTCAGAGATGGGCATCTTTAATAACAATCACTCTGCATCTGCTGTGACATGCACAGATCAGAATTGGGGCCTTGATTTACAAATTCAATAGATTTATAACATCTTGCAATTAGAAAGGCCATTCCTCCAAGGCCTCCGCATTCAAAAGTGGATCAGGCCTACTCCTTACAAATGCAAACTGCACTATCTCTGCACATAAATAAAAGCATATCAAGTCAGACGCAAAGTTTCCACCAACTACAATACAAAAGTTGCAGTCGAGAAGCAACATTGTTACACAGGAAGTCAGAAGCAGAAAGCTCTCTAAACAATTTACCCCCTAAAAATCTGTTACTGAATTAAATATCACCAAAAATTCTGCTGAAGTTAAACTGGTCTTGAAACAGGAATGAAAGTTACAGTACAATGAATCTTTGGTTTGCTATTCCACCTGAAGACTTCACTGTAAAATTCTGTTGGAGGTAACACCCACAAACATGTTAATAACAGCCCTTTAATGTATCTATTGATTTTTATTTTTTAATTGTTCTCCCACAATTAAGTGCTTATGCTTTTCTCACACATAAAATATTCTAGCTGCGAGACTAGAAAATAATTGAAATATCAATGCTTTTATGATTGTATAGCTTCACTGTTAAAACCACAATGTAACCACAATCCTTCTGTTAGAAGCTACAGCCACAGGCATCACCTTAAACATCTTCAAGTTTTATAGGAATTTAACTCCCCTATTTTACTATTTTTAAATCTAAGACTATAAGATGACTCACTTGCTTTGCTCTGACTCACAGCTCTCAACTCCAAATAAGAGTTATTCAAACCTTTTCAAAATTGCTTTCAGTCCAAAGGAAATTTTATTTTGGTGTGCATCCAGCAAGCCTCAAGCTAGTCATGATAAATATACACAGCAATATACATCACAACCCCTAAACAAATGAATAAGTAATTGGTAACATATAATTGTTTTATGAAATAAAAGCTAAAAAAAATAGTATGACAGTTACAATCCCAAAAGCCTTATTTGATTGGACCTCAAAGGGCAGCAACCCTTGGCTGCAAGTGATTGGAAAACAAGCTTCATGCACTCACAGTAATTTGGAAAGGATCCCATTCAAAAGCACTGTTCAATGTGTGCTTAAGATACAGTGAAGGCTCTCCTTTTATTAGAATCTCACATCCATATCTAAGTGAGGCTTAAAGGCTTTAGATAATGGTTCCAACAGCAGTGAGAAATAAATATTATTTAATAGGTAAGTTCTCACCTCCAGGTAAAGGTTTGTCTTTATCAACATTGTTGTTATCATAGCAAAACTCATATCCAAAATGTTTTACTCTTCTATGTTTTAAAGTCTTCTGGGCTGCAAAAACACACAAGTAAGATTAGACTACATAAAACAGTATAAGCAATTTGCTGTGTTCCCCTATTCCATCTCATCTGTTAAATCAAAACATTCTTTAATTAACAGTTGAAACATTGTATGTGGCCCTTGTTCTTCATGGCACACACTTCTTCTGCCTTATTACCTTTTGTATTTGCATCAAGATCACATTCACTGCTGTTTGAAGTCAAACTGATGGTGGTTTTGTACATGCAAGAAGCAGAGAGCACCAATCTTCTCAAGCCATCGTTATTCTTGCCCTGATCTCTGAACTTGCACATGATTAATAATACAGCACGATCCTTCACCTTCATCAGTCACCAAGTTACATGCTAGCTAAGGTCAATATAACCCTTTGTGTTCCAAGGAACAAAATTTATACAGAAATCTTGAAGTAAATTCCAAGAACAATTCATTTATTAAAAGATTTAACTCCACAGGGCTCAAGTGAAAGCACAAAAGCATCCAGAATGTGTCTCACTGACTTCTTTTTGATTTAACAGAAGACACAGCTCCTCAGATGGACATCAAATTATAAGGGTAACGTTCACAGAACAGCCTTGTATTTGACATAAGACGCCTAAAGATAGACTTTAGTTGTTTCTGGATGCAGAAAGTAAATCCGTACCAGAATAACAATTCAGACCACCAAACTTCAGGAGTTTATCACTTGCAATAAAAGACCCAATTTCGAAAATACTAAGAACAAATACACAATAATTTCAAGCAATACATTTACCAATATGTAGATTTCTTGTAAACTGAAACTGTAGGAAAAAATTGCATAAAATATGGAAGGTCTGGGTTTCTATGGTTTTGCCCACCATTTTGAGTATCTTCATCTCCTATCCAGTCAATACTTTCCAACATCCTCCTTTCTTCCTCTGGAGAAATAATCTTTTCAATGACCATTAGGCCTGGAGGCAAGCTTGTAGGAACAGCATTCCGCCAGAAAACTAGGGTGTATGGAAAAAGATAATATTATCACTATTTAGCAAAAATAAAACCATCTGTTCCCTACAGGGATACTTACTATATATGAAAATATACCATAGCTGCATAAATACTTTCTTTAATGATATAATAGAGCCCTCACTGGGGTCTTATTGGATGAATAAATGATCTCTTTTTGGCATGACAAAACAGGATAAGGCCCAAATTTTGTATCATGAAAAGCAACTTCTAAAAGTTTTACTGCATAAGACCAACAAGACTCCACACTATTCAAATGCAAAACCACACGTGATTTTCCTGTCAAAATAATGGTAAAAGGAATTTCCCAATCACTTCAGGATTCTACCTGCATTTCATTTTAATTTTCTGGAACTTTGGTGATTTACTGAATCACCAGATTATTTTCTGAACAAAGAAGCAATCTATAATCAAATATGGAGGAGGATAATACAATGCCCAGGTGAACATAAAATGTTGGTGATGTAGGGACATGTAGTTTGCTATCCTGATAACTTAAAAAAAGCTATTAGCTGGAAGAATGTACAGATCAACACCAGGAACCTTTTCCAGTAGACACTATAAAGGCTCATAGAAAGAGCAACAGTTCTTGTACTAAATTGCTTATAGTCAGCTATTAAAAAAGCCTGGAGAAAATGTGAAAAAAACCCAGCAATCTCATTGTGCCTGTTTTCCTTCCTGGGGTTGAGATAGAGATCGCAATACCAAGGTCACACAAAAAAATCCAATGAACTGTCCAGAGATCTCCTGGGTTCCAGTTTAGCTCCATAACCACAAAACCTTCATGTGCAGTATTGAATGGTCTGAAAACTACCTAAAGTCCTTTTTCCTTTTGCCTCCAAGTAAAGGAGTTCAAATTAGAGTATCCTACCATGAAATACAAGAAGCAAAGATTATTTTATGTTCTGAATCTCAGATTCTGCCTTTCATTCTGTCCTGGTTTCAGCTGAGAGGATTGATTTTTCTTCATAGTAGCTAGTGTGGGGATACATTTTGGATTTGTGGTGGAGACAGCATTGATAATATAGAGATGTTTTTGTTTTATGGACTTATTGTTGAGCAGTGTTTACACGAGGCCAAGGCCTTTTCTGCTTCTTGCACTGCCCTGCCAGCGGGATGGCTGGGGGTGGACAAGAAGTTGGGAGGAGACACAGACAGGACAGGTGACCCAAACTGACCAAAGGGGTATTCCATACTGTATGACGTCATGCCCAGTTTATAAGGAGCTTGGAGGAAGAGGAGGGGGGGGGCGGCGGCGGTCGGAGCAATGGCGCTCGTCTTT